AAAATAATCATCAATAATTGAGTTGAATAGTAAAACTAAAAAAAAAAAAAAAAGATCATCAGATAAACTTTTTCAGTTCTAATCAAGAGACAGAAAGGGAATATACAAAATCAACAATCAGAAATAAATTAGAAATAAATGAAAGTATATTTTTATTACAAAGGAATAATGTGTTTATATCGGTACATTTAGCAATCCAAAAGAAATATTTTTCCTCAATATTTTTAAGGGTATAAATTGCCAAAATTGGCTTGAAGAATAAGTCGTTACCTTAAATATACAAATAATCGCAGAAAAGTCTGAAAAGAGATCTAGATCTTTGATTTATTTATTTTTTTTTTTTTAATTTTTTTTCGACCTTTATTTATTTTTGGGACAGAGAGAGACAGAGCATGAACGGGGGAGGGGCAGAGAGAGAGGGAGACACAGAATCGGAAACAGGCTCCAGGCTCTGAGCGATCAGCCCAGAGCCTGACGCGGGGCTCGAACTCACAGACCGCGAGATCGTGACCTGGCTGAAGTCGGACGCTTAACCGACTGCGCCACCCAGGCGCCCCTAGATCTTTGATTTAAAAGGACACTAGATTAGATGGTTTTATGGAGTTGTGTCCTTTAAAAAATGTCTTACTTTTTAATTATAGAAGTAAAACTTGCTTATTTTAAATAAAGTAGTTGAACATATGTAAATACATACAATAAAAAGAAAATCTCCTCACTGCCTCCTTTACGCAAATTTCAACCCCCGGCAGTAACCCCGTTGGCCGCAGACCTTACTACAAACAGGTATATGTATGCGTATGTGTGAAGTTTACAAAAAGGAGATCTTAAAACACATACTGGTCTACAGCTTGCTTTTTCCCTTCCGCTTGGTGTCGTGACATCATTCCATATAAAAAATACAACAGATGCGCAGGATTCAATTATACGGATGTACCATTATATGTTGCAGAATGTTGCTTCAAAGAAATAAACATTTGTAGACAATATTTCAACAACCTGAAGAGACACCTTTCATGGAGACGTTGGGGGAGAAGTCTTTCTTTAAAAAAAAAAAAAAAAAATATATATATATATATATATAATTTATTGTCAAATTGGTTTCCATACGACACCCAGTGCTCACCCCAATAAGTGCCTTCTTTAGCGCCCATCACCCACTTTTCCCTCTCCCCCACCCCCATCCACCCTCAGTTTGTTCTCAGTATTTAAGAGTCTCTTATGGTTTGCCTCCCTCCCTCTCTGTAACTGTTTCCCCCTTCGCTTCCGCCATGGTCTTCTGTTAAGTTTCCCAGGATCCACATATGAGTGAAAACATATGGCATCTGTCTTTCTCTGCCTGACTTACTTCGCTTAGCATAACACTCTCCAGTTCCATCCACATTGCTGCAAATGGCCAAATCTCATCCTTTCTCATTGCCAAGTAGTATTCCATTGTATATATAAACCACATCGTCTTGATCCACTCGTCAGTTGATGGACATTTGGGCTCTTCCCATGATTTGGCTATTGCTGAGAGTGCTGCTATAAACATTGGGGTACGAGTGCCCCTATGCTCAGCACTCCTGTATCCCTGGGGTCAATTCCTAGCAGGGCTATTGCCGGGTCATAGGGTAGATCTATTTTTAGTTTTTTGAGGAACCTCCACACTGTTTTCTAGAGCGGCTGCACCAGTTTGCATTCCCACCAACGGTGCAGGAAGGTTCTCGCTGGGGGAGAAGTCTTCAAATGAAACAAGAGAACACAGTACGTGTGGGTGTGACAGCATCGCGGAGGACACTGTCAGTTCCAGCGTGATGGAATAATAATGAAGCTGAGTTTTGAAGTATCAACTTTCCAGGTCGACCTTTTAAAAAAATATGTGAATATTAAAACAAACAAACAAACAGACACACAAACAATTTTGTCCGTAGTAAGGACTGCCAACTGTCAGGGACAGTCGTCAAGACAGACCCGCACTTCCTGTGGAGGGGAACTGGCCAGGCTCTCCCATCAGCTGTGGGCGGCGCTTGTCTAATCCTGGGTGTCCCAGTTTCCCCCACGTAAGTCACTGAAGTGACAATACTTACAACGGCGAATCCAGCTCGTGACCAGCTTGATCCCTTGATGAGGCTGTAGGCAAACTGAAGAAGAAAAGGAGGCAGTTTCCGGGAAGGAGACACCGTGGAGAAGAAAGACAGCAAACGTGGAAAGTCAGAATGAATCCAAGCTCTCCCTGCTTCAACTGCAAGGATCTGTCAGTCCGTCCGTGGGGGGCCGTAAGTAGCACACTCACAGGTTCTAGAAAAGCAAAGGTTCAGACCGGCAAAGAGACAGGTTAATTGGTGTCAAGTTTCTTACACTGTTTTTCCAACGCCCCAGATTTACCACGAGGGGTGAAAAGACTGACGACTGCGGTACGGCTCCTGCTTCAGACCCACATTCTCTTCCTTTGACATTTTATGAGAATCATCTAGAAGTCTGCTTCCTTGCCTCATATTTAAAATGACAGGGTCTTTCCAACAAGTGCGGTGGGACAACAGGATGTGCACATTCAAAAGAATGAAGTTAGGGGCGCCTGGGTGGCTCGGTCGGTTAAGCGGCCGACTTCAGCTCAGGTCATGATCTCACAGTTCGTGGGTTCGAGCCCCGCATCGGGCTCTGTGCTGACAGCTCAGAGCCTGGAGCCTGTTTCAGATTCTGTGCCTCCCTCTCTCTGCCCCTCCCCTGCTCGCGCTCTGTCTCTGTCTCAAAAATAAAATAAACATTAAAAAAAAATTTTTTTTTTAAAAAGAATGAAGTTGGACCCCTTCCTCTCAACATGCCCCAAATTAACTCAAGACGGATCATAGACCCCAATGTACATGCTAACGCTATAAACACTCTGAGAAGGAAATAAGTGGTAAATCATCATGAATTTGGGTAGGCAGAGCCTTCTTAGATACGACACTAAAGCAGCAAAGAACACAGATAAATTGGGCCCATTCAAAACGAAAAGCTTTCATGGCTTCAAAGGACATTCTCAAGAAAGTGAAAAGAGCTCCAGAATGTGGGAGAAGATGTTTGCAAATCACGCGTCATATCTGATAAGGGACCTGGAATCTGGTAGATACAAAGGATTCTAACAACTCAATAATTTAATTGAGTTCTAACAACTCAATAATTTAAAGATAAATAACCCAATTTAATAACTGGCCCAATTGAGGAGGGCACTTGTTGGGAGGAGCGTTGGGTGCTGTATATAGGCGGTGAACCACGGGAGTCTACTCCTGTAACCTAGAGCACACTGTATACTCTGTATGTTAGCCAGCTTGACAATAAATTACATTAAAAATAAATGGGCCCCAGGGGCGCCTGGATGGCTCAGTTGGTTAAGCGTCCGACTTCAGCTCAGGTCATGATCTCACAGTTTGTGGGTTCGAGCCCCGCATCGGGCTCTGTGCTCCCAGCTCGGAGCCTGGAGCCTGCTTCAGATTCTGTGTCTCCCTCTCTCTCTGCCCCTCCCCTGCTCATTCTCCCTCTCTCTCTCTCTCTCTCTCTCTCTCAAAAATAAATAATAAAGATTAAAAAAAATGTAAAAATAAAATAAAATAAACGGTCCCGGGATCTGACCAGGCATTTCTCCAAGAAGATGCTCAAATGACCGATAAGCACATGAAAAGATAATCAAGATCATGAGACATTAGGGAAATGCAAATCAAAACCATAGTGAGTTAGATACGGTGTCCCACGCACCAGGAAGGCCAGAATCAAAAGACAGATATTAACAAGTGTTGGCAAGGAGGTGGTGAGGTCCCCATGCACTGTTGTGGGGGGAGGGAGGTAAAACCACGCAGCACTTCGGGAAATGGGGAGTTCTTCAGAAGGTAGAACTGAGTGATCACGTGACCCAGCCCTCCCATTCCAAGAGAAATGAAAAAATACATCCATGCGAAAACTTACACGTGAATGTTTCAGAGCAGTGTTATTCGTAACAGCCCAACAGGGAGTGGAAAGACCCAAGTGGAAAAGCCTGCTGAGGGATGCCCAAAACATGGTTCACGCACGCAATGGAGCACTGTTCAGCCATAAACAAGGGTGAAGGACTCTTACAGGCACAACATGGATGAGTGTCAGAGAGCAGTGAAGGGGGCCAGGCACAAAATACGCAGACCGTATGACTCCCTTGACATGACGTGTCCAGAATAGGGGAATCCACAGACAGAAAGTAGACGAGGGGCTGCCAGGGGTGGGGGCTGTGGGAGGGACTGGGGAGGACTGATGGTGCGTACGGGGTAATGAAGATGTTCTCGTCCTACATCGATGGGGGTGATGGTCACACAATACCGTGTATGTGCTAAAAGCCATAGTACAGTTTCAATACATGAGTTGTATGGCATGTGAATTATATTTCAGTAAGTCTATTATTTTTTTAAAAAAATGACAGGGTCATTACCAATGGTCTTCTCTGTTATGCACAAAAAGGAGATTTAATGACCTAGAAGATAACACATCTTCCTAGGTATCGTATTATACTACAAATTATTTTTTCTCAAGTGTTCCCAACTTCCCTGGTCTTCCGGTCATTTAGAGAAGGGTCAATGTCATTCACAACTGTGATGAGTGATGCCCTGGCATCTGGAGGAGAGACATGGAAAGAATGGCTTCGTGCCCTGATTTTGCTGTGTGACCTTTGGCAAGTCACTTAACTTCTCTGGGCTTTAGACAGCTCATCTGAAAAATGAGAGGCCAGAACTAAATAAATCCTCCTATGTTAGAGTTTTATGATTCAGATTTAAAATGGCATATGTAAATATAAGCATCATCATGAAAGCAAAATGTATTGTATTTACTTAGGTTTTATTTTTTTTATTTTTATTTTTTTAATGTTTATTTATCTTGGAGAGAGAGAGAGAGAGACAGAGCACAAGCGGGGGAGGAGCACAGAGAGAGGGAGACGCAGAATCTGAAACAGGCTCCAGGCTCTGAGCTGTGAGCACAGAGCCCGACACGGGGCTTGAACTCACAAACCGTGAGATCATGACCTGAGCCGAAGCAGGATGCTCAACCGACTGAGCCACCCAGGTGACTCTGTATTTACTTAGTTTTTAAATATGCAACAACGTGAATCCCCGGCTGACTTGTAGGGTGGGTGATTGGTGTTTTCCTCGTGTATGCTTCTCAATTCTTTACATGAGCATATTTAATATCCTGGAAGAAAATATTTTTTGAAAAAGCTTTGGATTGCACTGGTTAAAATGTGATAACTTGATTGAAATACAAGTCTGTTAAATCCATAAATACAGATGCAAGAAAGACATTTGTAATTTTCCAGTGACGAGTGGAGATATTTGAAACCCCTTGGTGTTTTTTAAGACAGAATTCTGTTCTACAGAATTAAGTTCTCTTTGTTTAAATGTGTTCTTGGTTTTCAAATTGAATAGAGTCCCTGGCACATACCTGTGGTTCTCATGATGTATGTGCATGTGCTAACCTCATTTACAGACAGCAGGGAGAGACGGGGCCTCTAATGCATCTTTCCCAATAAAAGGGCGTAGTCAGAAAAATACTTAGTCTGATAGTTTCGTATATGAAACCCGGTCACTTACGATAGGTCCGCACGAAGGACAAGACTAAAGCTGTGGTAAAATAATTTATAAGATACACGCAGTCATGTGCTTATGAAGGAAGTAATAAAACAGTGAAGACCATTTAGTTCAGATTTCCAAACCAGGAAACTGTGATCTACATTAGGCAGAGAGCACGTTAATTCAATGGAAAGGGTTTTCTTTAACGGAACTATTTGTAGTGTGGACAGTCGAAATGATCTATCTCTTTGAGCTTGAAACACAAGTTGTGCGTTTTAAGAAGTAAAAGGCAACACAGTGGAAGGTACAGATATCGTCAAATACGGCAAGCGTCGCAGTGAACGTAGGGGGACATCACACACCTGCCCCCGTGTGCCTCCCTGTGTTTGCTCATTGAGCCTGGGAAACTGAGACAGAGGTCATAGTGGACCTCAGCACACCCTGAGCCATGGGACCACAAGCGGTTTTTCCTCGGGACACAAGCAGCTCCTCGCTACATGCAGGGGTCCCGGGTGAACGCTGCCCTTGCTTGGTAAGGTGCACAGCGACAGGCAGTCACTACCCTACCGATGCCTTTGTGTTTGCAAATTACTTGGGCAACTCAGAACACAAGAGAGATGGGATTAGGAAATGAAGAAATGCCCACGTGAGGTGGGGGCCCCACGGTTTTGCCTGGCTTCTCCGTGGTCTTTGTTATTCAAATATCCTGTTGTGTAAGTGCAAAGACAGGAAGTGAGTTCTACAAACCCTTACAACAACAGCAGTCTTGGGTTTCAGATAAGTAGGTGTGCCTAGTGCTTCGGGATTTGATACATATTTAGGGGTTTTTTTTGTTTGTTTTTTGAAAATGCTGAAAAGTACTACATTTTCTCTGGGCAAAACATCTTTGGTGTTTCAAAAAAGCCCTGACATTACTGTGTAAATAGTCTCGTTAATAACTGCCTCTTGGGCCTGTCCCAGACTTTAATTGTTTAGCTTTGCGCTTTATTTGTGTCTCTCTCAAAACACTGCCGTGTGTCTTCAGAGGTGAGAGGTGGAGCCAGTGAGCAGCACAGAGTAGGCTGTGCATTGTTTTTGGCCCCGGGGCTGCTGGTTTTCCTGGGGATCAGACCCCCTGGGCGTGTGTGCGGGGAGAGGGACCCCCTTGCTCTGTCACCCGCGGGGCTGGCTTTCTGCAGAAAGGGGGCTGCGGTGGGAGGGTTTCCTCTGCTGCTCAGTGCCCTCTCCTTCCTCTTTCAGGCCCAGAAGCCCAAGAACCCCCATGTGAGCCTTATTCACTACTCTGTTCCCATTTCCCTGCACTGGTTGTATTTTGGATTTCAGAGTTTGGAAGTCTAAACATTTTCCCGCACTGAGGAATACGCAAGGATTTTGGTTCAGACTCCAAGTTAGGAAACACCTACAGAGTTTGTGTGTTCCTAAGAAAAACTGGATGAAATGAAATAAAATGGCATGTTTTGGGGCGGGGGGTATGGCTGTTATTCATTTTATCGACACACCGTATTTTAAGTGAGCCTCCCAGGTCGTAGGATTGGGAAGAGGCCCTCCTGATTGTCCCGAATGAAACCTTGAACTGAGAATAGGGAGTGTGGGAGTTTGGGCTTTTCCAGTAGTTTCTGAGCTCTGGACTCCGGGATGGGGAATGAGTTCCTGGCTCGCCTCCGCCCCCTGCCTCCAGTGGGCCCAGAAGACCGCTTCCCCTTTCTGCTCCTCAAATAAGCCTCGGCCTGGCCTCCCTGCTCAGCTTTACCCCCGAGGCCAGCGGCCGGTGAGCGAGTGCCAGTCTCCTGCTTGGACACAGTGAATGTCCTTAAGCCTCAACAAAATGACTAACGCGTCTTTAAAGTTTCTCTTAGAAGGGTCACCACATTCTGAGGAAGTTCAAAGAATATAAAATCGAACGTTCGGGGAGGAAATCGGCTACATTTTGCTCTGGTGTTTTCAGGCTGGTGATGGGCATTAATTACGCAAGACCCGCTACATTTTAAAAGTCATTTGAAGATTTGGGGAAGAGATCCAAAGGTACTATTTCAAAACACCATCAGTGCAAGTTTCTCGTGGCTGCTTCAGCTTTATTTTCCTTGTACTTTGTTGTTGTTGTTGTTGTTGTTACAGTGTGTGAAAGTTGTTATGTTGAAAGCCATGTGCACATTTATGAACAAATCATTTTAAATAGCTGTTTGCACAAAACTTGAACTTAATAAGCTTAGGGAGAGGGAGAACCGCCCGCCCCTTTCAAGTGGCATTAGGGAAGCCCAGCTTTAAAAGCTTAATAATCAGGCACATATAACGCTCGGTAGGCAGTCTTGTTAGAAACTCCAATTTGGTCCAAAGACAGCTTTTTTAATGTGTTTGATTTGTGATTTCTCAGAAACTGGTAAATGGTTACGGTCACGTTGGTTTGTACCGGAATCGCTTGAAAACAGCCTTTGGCTGGCCCTTTTAGGCACCTGAGGGTCTGGGGTTTCTCAAACATTGAAAAAACAAACCGATGGTCGTTTGGCCACTCGAAGCCTTGTCTTTATTTTATTTCAAGAACGTTGAACTGCTGACGCACATCGCAGCACTGTAATAAGTGTATACTTACCTGTGTACGATATTGTATTTACATGTTTTATTAGATTTTAATAACGTGATCTTCCTGCTGTGATTCTGTGGTGGTTACGGTTTGTTCTAGGAGTCCTACCCTTTGCTTACGTGTGACAACAAATCGATCCTTTAAGTATTATTTAATGGCCTTCGGGTTTGATACAGAATCTATTCACGCGCATTCCACGGACTTTGCAACAGGACGGTCTATCCGTGGAACTGTCAGACTCCCCAGGAAATAATAGCTTCTGACATTTGCAGTGTTAAAATATAGGATTAATGATCAGCTTTTAATGTGCAAATTAAGTATTCAGTACAAGAGTCCTTGCCTTTCCTCTTCCCGGTTTTATTTAACCCATATGCTCTGCTGAATTCAGAAGCACGGGTTTAGTCTCCACCTAACCCAGCTCGGGTCAATGAGCTGCTAACTAGATTTTGGGGGTAAAATGGGAAATTACAAGACAGACTCCTTGGAAAAGTGGCATATTTCTAGCTCCACTGAAATGCCGTCAAGACCTCAGAGAAGTTAATGATTAACTGTAAAAACCGCAAGGCCCAAATCTCAGTCCCCGAAGTACAAAAGCTGACACTCAGCTAAGCACTGCGCGTCCTTCCTCGCCCTGGGGCCCCAGCCACCTGAGGTGGGAGCGGAGGGCAAGTCCACGGCTTCCGTGTTCTGTAAGAAACGGTTCTCTCCCCTTGTTCTGGGTCAAACTGGAAAAGAGGCTTTCTCTCCCCTGAAAACCTCGGCATTGTCGCTGGCTTTCCTTAAGCCTTAATAACATTCTTCGTCAGCCGATCCTAAAATTCCATAGAGTGTTCGCTCGTGGTTACCTATTAAAAGACGAGTTATATGCACTAAATTATATGGTTAAAAACTATCACCTATTTTTGTAAGTGGGAAAAAACATTTTAAACTAGAACGCTAAAAGGAGCTGTGTGTCTGTTGTCTCCGCCACAAGAGGCGACACTTATTTTGCGAAGGGTACTTGCATGGCAGTGACGTTTCACTGCTGATACTTCTGCTAAACGAAGTCCCTTTCTTTCTTGAAAAAAGATTATTTGCCGTTTTCAAACCATCTCCTTCTGCCTTTCGGTGGGCTCTTCGTTTCTTTAGCTGATCTTTTAGAAAGTTTATTTATTTTTGAGACAGAGAGAGAGAGACAGAGCGTGAGTGGGGGAGGGGCAGAGAGAGGGAGAGAGAGAGCACGTGAGCAGGGTGGGGGGTGGGGGAGGGTCAGAGAGAGAAGGAGACACAGAATCCGAAGCAGGCTCCAGGCTCCGAGCTGTCAGCACAGAGCCCGATGCGGGACTCGAACTCACGAACTGTGAGATCGTGACCTGAGCTGAAGTCGGAGGCTTAACCGACTGAGCCCCCAGGCGCCCCTTAGCTGATTTATTTGTTATCATGTGCACCAGCGATGGGCAAGGCTTTCTCTGTCATCGCTGCGTTGTTTGAAATGACGTGTGTGGCCTGGTAACGTGGATTCACGGGGCACTCCCAAGTTCCACACCAAGGACAGTGGCGCCCAGGAGCCTTTCCCGGCCGCACGCAGTAGCTCACCCCACATTTGCCGCCAGCAGAGTCTTGGGGTCACTCTTTAAAGCAAGGTCTCCGGGCGAACCGGAGAAGTACAGTTCTAGCCCCGGGAGCTTCGGTCATAACAAAGTGCCTCTAAATGGCTCCCAGGCTCCCTCTTTGTTACTTCAGTAACAACACCAATTTAAATGGACACAACTGATTTCTAAGAATTCCAAGCAATATATGTTGATGGCCTTTGAGACACGTAAGCCACAGATAAGCTAATCTTAACCGATTCTCTTTCTGGGACATTTGGATGTGCGGCCGCGAGAGGCAGAGGTTTACAGAGCATGGTTTTAAATTAGTACGGCATTCACTGAGTGACACTGGATTATTAACACTAATACACATGTGCACCTTGAACAAGACCCTTGATCTTAACCAGCGAAAACCCGAGCCCGTTCCTGAACAGAGACTAAACTCTGTTTGTAATGAACATTCAGCCAGAGTCCCATGTGTGCTGGTTAATGGGGCAGGGAGTTTGGGGGCAAGTGGGTTCAGCAAAGGGGCTGGTGAATCCCGTGGCGTATAAAAGGCCGCCTTTCTTTTCAGTGTTGCGAGACCGACGGCCTTTCGTGTTGAATCAAGACGCCTTCCGCTCACAGAAGTGCTTCTGACCTAAGTGGAAATTGAATTCAGGCCCAGCAGCAGGTAAGAGTGCCTGGTCCGGGGCATGGGGAGTCTTAGGGGGTTCTTTCTCCATGGGTTTTGAAAGCAAAGGTGCCCTTCGGAGAGCACGACGCGGTGAACGCTGATGTGACAGACCGAGCCCGGGAGGCCACATCACAAACACACGCCGGCCAGAAATCCTGATTAATGTCACTGAGATCACTTCAAATTTATGGTATCGACAGCGATGCGAATAATGATCGCACAAGGGCCGTAATGGCAGGACCCGGCAAAGAGGGTCTGTTTTCTTCATCTGGATTTTTATTTTCTGTAATGCGTGAGAAAACCAAATCGAGGGATGCCAGGAAACAGGTGTTTACGTTGTGAAGATAAGTGTTTGTCAAATATCAGTCATTTCAACCACCCTTTGGGCATCTTCCGCTCCGCAGAGGTGCCCGCTGATAATGGCCCGCTGATCTGCCAGCAGCATCACGCAGAGAAGTTTCTGGCGAGGGTTCCTTTCTGTCGCATATAGATGTCCAGGCCTCTGTCAACTCTGCACCAGCCAAAGCCCTGAAACGATTCGGGGGAAGTCAATATTCCAAGAAAGGCTTTTCCTCAGAAGAAAACCCGGTTTCACACCTGGGTTGAGGATCTCTGTCAGGACGAGCCCTCTCGGTCTTTCCACCGAGAGGGAGCCGCTTGCCAGAAAAAGTGAATTAACTGCGTTAAGCTTCGAAAAGGAAAATTAAGTGGGCTTTAGCATTTTTTCAACCTGTTTTCTGTTACCTGGTAACACCTTTTAAGGGAACTTAAAAACACTGTAGTTCTTCAAAACCTAAGTGGAAAATTGGGGTAGAAACTATCTTCAGCCATGGAACAGCAGCTGTCTCAGAAAGTCTCTAACGTCCATAATTCTATTGAGTAAATGCCAAGAAACACCCAGCAATTGTCAAGATTAACTGGCAAATCAATCCTGTTTTGAAAAAATCACTGAAACGCCTATTGCCAGGCATCTGACCCTCTCCTACCCAATGTGTTGCCGATGTGGGGTTGTCCACACGGCCTTGGGGTCCCCAAACCTTAAGTCAACTAGGACTACAAGCTGATTAGCGCCCAGCAGGATGCACACCAGTGACAGGAAAGTGACAATCTGCACAGAATTCACTTACGCTTCGCGAGAACAGAGACTGAGAGGCGTGCCCTGACCACTGGGCAGGAAAGACAGGGATCATGTCCCCACTAGCCTCAGATGTCAACTACGATCAGCTTCTAGTTTCCAAAGTAACAAAATAAATGATTAATTAACACTTAGATGTCACCACGTAGTTTTCGCATTTAGAAATCTGCGTAGCTTGCCGATCCGAAAAAACGTTACGGACATCTTTAAATGGAAATGTCCAGGTACCGCCTTCTCAAATATTTATAGTCTTCCAAGCTTTTCATGTCCCTTAGAGACTGATCAGCGGTCCTTTAACCAGCATCAAATACATCATGAGAAAAGAAATAAAAACAAAAGACGCAAATGAGACCGAGAAAAGCAAAACTTAGAAGCTGTCTGTCTGATTCTCCGACGGTTGCCTAGGCAGTTTTATTATTTTAGAAACCATACGAAAGAACTGTGTATTAGTTAACTTATTCATTCTGGAGAGAAATGGCCCCAGCCAGTGGCTGTCTCACGGCGTCAGGGAGAGCCAGGTCCTCATTCCCCCCGCACAGGACGGCGAGGAGCAGGCTGTCCGCGCAGAGCCGGGGGATTTCTCCTGGGGTCCTCACCGGTGGGCTCTCGGTGCCTCTCTCGGCTACTTTATTCACCAAGAAGAGCGCGATGTGGGGTCGAGGCAGTGACGTAGTCCCAGTAGGAGCACGAAACCTTCCACATTTCCACCGCCCAGAGCTCCGCGTGGGCTGGCTCGGAGCCGAAAGCCGAGGGGCCCCGCAGGGTGACGTGTCTGCGGAGGGACAGCGCGCCTGCCCCCGGGGCGCGTGCGTGCACCTGCAGCCTCACTGCGGGCGGCGACGGGGAGCCCTGCCCCGCCCGGCACCCTGGCACCAGGATCGTGTGTTCGGCTGGAGTCCTAGCCTCACCTAGCCGGACTTTCCCCGGGGCCCGGCTGCCCGCTGCATCACCGTAGCAATGGACAAACACGGTGAGAGTCGGCAGGGCCCCGCAGCTGCGGAAACCCTGCCCTCCTGGCCGCCCCGCGGGAGGGGCCGGGCTAATTTCCATGCGGCGTTTGGGGATGTTGGGATTCGAAGATCAAAGAAGGTCAAAGGGGGCCGTTGGAATGGCAGATATTTATTGTGTTTAATATAAATACAAACGTGTCCAAGAAGAGAAACTGAAACCTTAACAGGCCTGTGGATGGCGTTTGGTAAACAGAAAAGAACACATCTTGAAAGCAGGCGGCTGGCTGGCGAAATTGACTGGCACTGCAGAAGCTGTCGCGATTTAAAGTGGGACAAATTAAGACAGCAACAATCTTCACCGACATCGAACATCCACATTCGTTGAAAACCCTGAGGAAGACGTCTAGCTGCACTTTAGAAATTTCTGGTCGCCCTCCTTAGCTGCGCCCCTTGTATTATTAAGAGTGTTTGTTTCATACCATTAACTGTGCAGTCAAGTTGGAGCCCGTTAAACAGCATTAATTTGACAAATTGTGGGATGGGGGTGTGAGTGCCGGCTGGAGAAAGGGGCTTTGTGTTTCGGGGTCTCCATTAGTGAAACAATAAATAAGGCTATGGTAAAACTGATATGATGGGAAATGACTTCTATTCAGTTAACTCAATTATTAGTGCTAATTGGGGCCAGGTGAAGCATGGATAATTGAAATTCACAGATAATCCAAAAACCTCTATTTAACCAATAACTTCAAACTTCTTCCCCATCAAACCAATTACCAGAGGAGCTAACAAATAGAAAAAATGGATTGAATTGAATTTTGCCTCCCCAAAGATTACCACTATGATGTCTTTCTATTGATTAATCCACAACAAGAGCCAAGGGTTGACTGCATTCAAGAGACTAAATTACAGACAGTCCCCAACAATTGAAAAGGAAAAGGCTACGTCCCAAAGTTGATGACTCCACTACCTGAAGCTCAGAATGCTTTTTCGCAGAGCACCATATTCCTCAGGGGCTCTGAGGCAGCCCCGAGGGGCCAACTGGTGACCTAGTGACACTGGAAATATATTTAGCATCCTAACTCCTTTAATGAATCCCCTCTGAATCCTAAAGCCTTATCCTCCAGCCCCTAAATCTCTCTGAGCCTTAAATCTAAGGGTTTTTTTTTTTTTTAGTTGCGGTAAATTCACATAAGGTTAACAACCATTGTGAGTTGAGTGTGCACGTCAGTGACATCTAGAACATTCACGAGGCTGTGCGACCACCCGCCTCTATCAACTGTCTCAACATTTGCATCGCCCCCAAGAGAAACCCCTTTGGGACCCTCAGCAGCCACTGCCCGTTGTCCCCTCCCCCCAACCCCTGGCGACCGCAGATCGACTCACTGGAGCTATGGGTTCCCCTGTTCTGGACGTTCCATGTCAACGGAATCATGCAACATGTGGTCCTTCGTGTCTGGCTTCTTTCACTGCCATAATCTATTTAAGGTTCATCCGTGTGATCGCATGTGTGAGGACGTCCTTCCCTTTTATTGCCAAATGACTCTCCGTGGTCTGGACGGACCACACGTTCTTGACCCGCCTGTCAGCTGATGGACGCTTGGGTTGTCTCCATCTCGCGGCCACGTGCAACCGTCACCCCTAAGGTTGCACCCTGACATGCCCTGCCCTCGGAGGAAATGGGAAGTGGAGGGGGAGGGGTGGACAGAAGCTTGGGAAGCAGGGGGGCCCTTGTGGCGGAGCATGGGGAGGCTCCTCCTGTGCGCCGGGCCGCGGCACTCCCAGGCGCTGGCATCTGGGGCGGGCAGCGTCCCTCCCACAGGGCTGCCGTCGGCAGGGACATTCCGCTAGAAGCATCGACAGTGAGGGATAATTCGAGACAGCGTCAACCATGGTGGAGAACACAGGGAGACATGGAACCCGTCAGAGAGGGGCACGAGGGAGGCCAGAGGAGGCCCGCTGGGGGCAGGTACCTCCTTCAGATTCGGGTGTCGCTGGTTCCCAAGACGGAGAGCAGAACTGGACTGACCCAGCGAGAAATCTGGCAAGTGTCGTTGGCCTGTTCTCCGCTTTTCTGAAAACACAGGCGCCAGGAGAGGTTTCCATAGCAGCTTCCAAACTGGACACCAAACTTCACTCAGCAGGTAATTCTGTTCCCCCCGCGCGTGACCTGGGTGTCCCCGTGCCCATCAAACCCACACCTCACGCAAAGTCCTCCTGCCTTAGAGCCCTACGCCTCCACGCTGGGCCCACCCTCTGCCTCCCTCTGCACCCTGCATCCTTGCCAGGACGGGGGAGGCTGGCCGGCGGCCACAGCACATTCCAGAAGGCCAAATGCAAGGTCTTCCCTGGCTTCCGTGGTGTGCGCTTGGCATTTTTCAACGACTTCTGTTGGCCAATGTTCTTTATGGTAGAACAGGATGAGCTACATCATTTCTGGCTGTGCAATTTGACAGCTGTCTGTATGTGATTTATATACACAAGTGTGTCTAGAGAGAGCGACATATATGTGCACATGTGTGTGCCCATGCGCACAAACGTAATTTTGTGACGACGGTTATATTTATCCCTGTTTGCTTTACTTATTCCATAAACCTCATTATAAATTCAAAAAAGAAAATTGGTCCCAAATCCAATCACACCGGCACATTAACACTGAGTTTTTCATATTTCCTTTCTGTTGTTGTCACAGGACATTGATAGTTTTCCATTTCTCCTTTTCCACGTTTCGTCACTTTTCTTGGCGTCCTACAGTTTGTAAAAGGTACAGATGGCGGCCGCCATGCTTGCGGGCGCTGAAGGACCTGGTCAAGGTAAGGACGGCCCCTGCTGGGTCTGCTCAGTCCCAGCCAGACCGCAGGAGGAGTCGGGGGGCAGCCAAGGGGTGCCCCCAGATGTGCGCCTGCCTTTCTCGTGCAGTGAGTCAAGTGCTGTAGATGCCAGGGGCCCCAGCTTCCTCATGACAGTGGCCAGGCCGGTGGGGGAGCCCCTGGTGTCCCCTCCATTTTCTTAGTGACACAGTGGGCAGAGACCTGTCCCTCTGCCGCTGCAGGGACGCCTGTGTTTCTAAGGTGCATGGGGCTGAGTTTCAACTCACTGCCTCCCGGAGCCTCCAGGGTTCCAGAACCCCTTCCGGTCTTACGTGCAGGTCGTCCCTGGTTCGCCCTCTGTCAGGACTGGGAGGGACAGTGCGGCGGGACACTTGGGACAAATAGTTAGCAGGCCGATCCTGGAGGGCCTGGCTCCTGCCCTCCTCAGTTACCTGCCTTGCCGTTGGCCCACGCGGACCCTGAGCCAACCAGCCCCTTTCTGAAGCCCAAACCAGGTCCTGGGAGCCGTGGACAAGTCTGTCCCCTGGACAGAATGCAGACCCAAACGCCGCTTCTGGGCGGCCCCAAACGGCCGTGGTCATCCTTTGTTCCTGCTTCTTCGCCCACCTCGCTGAATCTCCGTCAGTCTCCAGAGAAGTCTCCGTGCCTTCCCCAGTTCCACCATCCTGCCCAATGACTCCTCCGAATCACCTGCCTTTCTCTCCCGGCCTTGAGGGGCGGTGCACCTCTCTACTGCTGAGGTCAGTCTGTCCTGGGTCCTTTTCACCATCATCGTCATCTATGGTCAGGTCATTCATTTCCCACCCACTCAGTTTTTATTCTTCTCTTGGTCGACACGCGTGTCCACATTCTTCCAGCTGGAAAACCGGCCACAAGGACTGGGGAGGGTGTCCCAAAGCCCCTGAGCGCCCGGCGCCTCCTTACCCCGCGATCCGACTGCGGAGACCGCACTACCGCGTGAACCGTGTGGCGGACGGACGGCAGGTGCTAAGGAGGAGGTTCACGCAGGAAGTGTGCGTGGGTGCGCGGGACGCCCCTCAGAACACACGCGCGTGCACCCCGAAGATGACACCCAGGCCGCTGACCCAGGAGCAGCTTCTACTGCCTTCCTTGTGCCCTCGTCCGTTTCCCGTACTTTCCGCGAGCAACACATGAACACACGGCGACTTTTAGCGAGCACTGAGCTAAGAGCTGTAGTGCCCCGGCTCACTTAACTTTTCCAGCTGCTCTGAGGATTGTCCCCTTACGACCCCTGTCTTATAGACAAGGGAGCTGATGCTTTGAGCGCCCGAGAGGCCTCCGGAGCCGACTGGCCCCCCAGTGCTCTCACACCTGTGGCTGTGAAGCGGGAGCGGGTCCCCATGGCCAGGGCTGGCGGGACGTACACCCGGAAGAATTGAAGGAGGCGGGATGGGTGGCAGCAGAAGGTGGGCTGAAGAGCCCTGAGCGGGGAGAGCCCTCACACGGACCGTCACTGGAAGTGGGCTGTGTCTAGGGGGCCTTCGTAAGCTTGCGGGGCAGGTCCTTCCAGGCGAGGCGACTCTGGGAGTCGTCCTCAGCTGTAGGCTGTCACCACCCTGGAGGGGTGAGGGGTGAGGGGCTTCAGTTCCGAGGGGGATCTGGATGGCCCGCTGTGTGCCCACGACAAACACCCACGGACTCTCGAGGGCGCATTCAAATCTCACTTCCCCCAGGAAGCATTCCTCGATTACCCTGATCAGGATGGGCCCTAATGACCCTACAAAAATACCTTGTGCCCACTGGGTGATCACCTTCTCCCTTCCCCCCGTCGGGCCCTGGTGATCTCTAATCTGTCTTCTCTCCTGGACGTCGCCTACAAGAAGAACCACGGTACGTGTCCTTCTGTGCCTGGCCTCTTTCACTGGGCAGAGTTTGTCAAGGTTTTGGGTCTCCCCCCAAATTTATGTGTTGAACCCTTAACCCCCGGTGTGATGGTATGAGGAGGTGGGGCACTGGGAGGTGATTGGGTCATGAGGGGGATCAGTGCCCTCATAAACCATGGGGAGCCATGGGATTTCTGTCCACTTGGGGAGCACACCGCGAGGAGGCACCACCTACAGGCCAGGAAGATGGTCTTCACCAGATCCGGGCTCTGCCGGCACGTCCCTATCAGACTTCCAGCCCCCAGAACTGTGACAGATACGTGTCTGTTTGTTCAAGCTGCCGTGCCTGGGATACTGTGCTAGGGACGCCTGAGTAGATTAAGCAGGTGCATCCTGGGAAGCGGTTCGGGACCTGGGAGCAGCTACAGATGCACAGCTACCTTCAGTAGCAAGAGTGATGGTTATCGTATAAAATTCATCATCCAGGAGCACCTGGGTGGCTCCCTCAGTTGAGCGTCTGACTCTTGTTTTTGGCTCAGGCTAGGATCTCGTGGTCCGTGGGTTCGAGCCCCGTGTCGGGCTCTGTGCCGACAGCTCGGAGCCTGGAGCCTGCTTCGGATTCTGCACCTCCCTCTCTCTCTGTCCCTCCCCCTCTCTCTCAAAAATAAATAAACATTAAAAAAATAAAATAAAATTCTTAATCTGTACCTCGGCCATCAAAAGGACAAAGCCCAGGGGCGCCTGGGTGGCGCAGTCGGTTAAGCGTCCGACTTCAGCCAGGTCACGATCTTGCGGTCCGTGAGTTCGAGCCCCGCGTCGGGCTCTGGGCTGATGGCTCAGAGCCTGGAGCCTGTTTCTGATTCTGTGTCTCCCTCTCTCTCCCCTCCCCCGTTCATGCTCTGTCTCTCTCTGTCCCAAAAATAAATAAACGTTGAAAAAAAAAAAAAAAGGACAAAGCCCAGATGATACGCTGCATAAAATAATCACCACCCTTGTTGCTGAAGAGAATTGTATGTTCACACCTGCTCCCTGGCCCCACACTGTGCCCTTGGCTGTCAGATCCTTGGCTCTTGGGATCTCTCGCCTTGGCTCTTGAGACCATCTCTCCTTGGCTCTTGGGATCTCTCTTGGGATCCCAATATTTTAGGGAAAATATTGAAAAACAGGTAGCAGTAACCGTTTTCAATATTTTAGTGTACGTATTTCTTTTATTTTAATCGTTTATTAAGTTTCAAGCGTGCAATATAGTGATCCACAGTGTTTCTCAGTGCTGGTCACGATAGGGGTATGCTTAGTCCCCATCACCCATTTCACCCACCATATGTCTTATTTTTAAGGAAATATATACATCCACATGATTTGTCATAAAGTTCAGCTCCCACACATCCTGAGGAGTTTTATAGCATCCGAACTCTTTTCGATACTCATGGGATAAAGCCATCGTCAGCTCGGTCTTATTGTCAAATATCCTTTCTTTCTCTACTACAGGAAATGTGTTTCTTTATAAAAGGGTCAGTTGAGGAAAACTCTCACTTATTCTCGTCCTTCTGATGAAATTTTCCAGTTCAGAGTCCGCTGCACCCGCATCAGAATGCCGTAGGCTTATTAGCGCATCGAGTACCTTGAGGCTATGATTAGGCACCTGCACCCCGTTTCTTAAAACCTCTGCCTTCAAAAGTTATGGGCAGAAGACAGAGGACCTGCTTCTGTGGCTGAGCTACATGACTCACTGTGCCCCTGGGCCTTGAGAGAATCTGCCCCCATGAATCGGGGATGCGGTTGGTGTTTCTAGAAGGTCACAGGACATGGTTGTTCTTCAAGATTTGGGAGGGGGGGCAGGAATCACTCTGAGTCTCGTGGGGGGTCCTGGCTCTTCCGACCACTTGTGCTGGGGGGTGCTGGCCCGTGGGGCAACCGGCTGAAACCACAGCAGCCTGGAGACCGAGGTCCAAGCAGGGGGACAGCAGAGGCTGTCCGAGGAGGAAGGGCCTGTCGTGTGCTGCTAGACCTGGCTGTCGTGGGGCGAGCGCCACGATGTCAGCCCTGTAGCAGGCCAGCTGGCAGAGGTCCCCAGCTGCCGCCCGAGTCTTACCTCGTTCTGGTCTGGGGGACACTGCTTGTCGTGGCCTGACGTGTTTGGATCTGTCAAGAGGGAACCTTTTTTCTCACAAGACACAAGAACAAAGCGTGGGATTAGTTTTATGTGAACTTGGATGTTCCCATTTAGCTGATAGGAAAAGCATGGCGTAGCGGCTAGAAACAGTGCTGGCTCGCCCGCTCGGCACCTGTTAGTAGCCCTGCTGGGCCTCAGTCTCTCCATCTGAACACAGGGACGACGAGGGTGCCGAGGCACCCAGGTCCACGAGCCTGGTGTGAGGCTTAAGCCAGATAATGTTTTTAAGGCACTCGGGACAATGCCCAGCACAACGTAAGTGCTACAGACAAGTTCCGTGCAATAAGCCCGTTCAAAACTACACACCAAAGCGCGTTGACAGGTGTCGGGAAAGGGGGCAGCGACCTGACCTGCAGTGGGGAGAAGATCATCTCCTCCCGCGCCCTCAGCGTATTCCCTTGTAAACCGGGCGCGAAGCACGCGTGTGTGTTCGTGGGCGTCCCTCCGGGGGTTGTGGCGCTCCGATCGTGGGCGCCCACCGGCCACTCGCCCTGGAAAAAGTCCGCCAAGGAGGTCAGCAGACCACGGGAAGGAGGACCTCAGGAAACAGTGTGTTTTCTGAGGCTCGTGGGTCAAACACAACTGGCCCTCGTTTGCTGGTTTCCGTCAGCGACTGTCTTCCACGGAGCCGACAGGCAACCTGACAGGTGCAAGAGGAGGTCTGTGTCCAGAACAAGACAACCTCAGGTCACTTCACGCCCCTCCTGGGAAGGCGTTCGCCCGCGCGTGGGGGCCCAGTGGTACCAGGATCGGCCCTTCCCCGGGGCACGGCCGCCTCCTCTCAGCCACGGTGACCACGTTGTAGAGGGAGCAGGGCACGCACGTATGACACTGGCCAACGCACGGATCCCAAGTGACTGTCCCAGAGGTGCCTCTGTTTACCGGTGAATCATCTCCGCTGAAGCCGCTGAGAATTCACGTCCGAGGGAAGAAAGCCGTCCAGTCCCAGCTAATTCGTGGAACGCTACTTGATGGAATTTGCTTATAATATTAACGATTCCTGGGGCGCCTGGGGGGCTCCATCAGTTAAGCATCTGATTCTTGACCTCGGCTCAGGTCATGCTCTCGAGGTTCATGAGATCGAGCCCCCTGTCGGGCTCTGTTCTAACAGCGTAGACCCTGCTTGGGATTCTTGTTCTCCCCCTCTCTGTCTGCCTCTCCCTCTCTCAGAATAAATAAAACACTAAAAAATAATTTCGAATATCTCCCAGGAAAATACAGCATTTAGGAGCTTTGTAAGTCTGCACGAAGGCAACGTTAGAATTTCACACAGAGCACCCCAAAATGAGGTGCTGGGACAGGGAGCAAGACCAGTGTCATCGCATAGGCTGTGGCTATCGGTTTTGATTGCTGGCTCACCCTACTGAGGGTCCGGGCCGTGAGGCAGTCGGGGCGGCAGGTCCGATGGGCATTAGAGACGGGACAGTCTAGCACGGTTACTCTGTAATACTCAACAGAAACACCCACCGCCAGGACAAAGTCGACAACCGAGGCTCCCGCGGTTTCCAACAAGCACTGCCAACACTCCGGGACCTGGGGCCAGTGACTGGGAATAGCGTCCCTCTGTCACAGAGCTAGCCACTCCGGAGGGCAGGCCGACATCTGGACGCACACATTGGGTCACGGGCAATGTGGTAAGTGAGGACACGAAGGGGTCAC